CTGGAGAGATTATCCAATGGTTAACAACACTGGATGTTCTTGCACAGGACCTGGGTTCAATCCCCTACACCCACCTAATGGCTTATTAAATGCCTGTAACTAATCCCAGGGCATCCACTGGCTTCTGAAACCACCAGGCAGTCATGTGGTACACATACATACATATAAGCAAGCACAAAAATAACAATTATTTCTTTGTCATTTGTATGAGGGTCACCTGCATATATATACATTTAAGCATGTGTGGAGGTCACAGGAAAACTCATGGGTTCTCTCCAACTATATGGTGTGGACCCATGCAGGCCTGGTGCTTGCTCTTTCAGTCTCTGTGAGCCCCGCTTAGTTGACTCGGTGGGCCATGTTCTCTTGGTGTCCTCTATCCCCCCTGACTCCTACAGTCTTTCCTTACCCTCTTCTTCAGGGTTTCTGGAACTCTGAGGAAAAGAAGCTGATGGAGACCTCCAATTTAAACTCTTGCATAATGTCTGTTTGTGGGTCTCTGTACCTGCTCCCATGTGCTGCTGGAGGGAGCCTCTGATGACAGCTGGACAGGGCTGATGATGGAGGTTTCTGTTCTGTCTGGTCCCTTAACCCCAAATAAACACGGACGCTATATTAATTATAAAACTGTTGATTGATGGTTAGGGTTTCTTACTGGCTAGCTCTCTCTTAATTATTAACCCATAACTACTAATCTATGAATTTCCACACGGCCTTATCTTACCAGAGAATGCATGCCGTGTCCTATCTTCTCGGTCTGTACATGGTGTCTTCTCAAGGTCTCTCTCTGCCTTCCTTTTCCCAGGGTTCTCCTTGTCTCCTAGCCTCACCTATCTTCCTGCTTCTGCTGGTCAATCAGTGTTTTATTCATCAACCAATAAGAGAGACACATAAACAGAAGAACATCCCCATCACAAGGCATTGATCTATGAGTATAGGAGAATATCAAGAATAATTTTATCTTCTTGTTTTTCAGATCAATTGTGTTTGGTTCTATGCTAGGTCACTGGGATAACCAGTCTCTAGTTTCTGGCCATCCAGGCAGTATAGGCCATGGGCACCCTCTTGTGGAGTGGGCCTCAAGTTAAGTCAGACATTGATTGGTTGACCATTCCCACAAGTTCTAGGCCACCATTACCCCAGCACATCTTGCAGGCAGGACAGATTGTAGGTGGAGGTTTTGTGGCTGAGTTGATGTCCACGTTTCTCTTTCCACAGCCTGCAGAGTACCTTTCCATGCCAACGACTAGAATGTACAGGGGAAGGCTCCAAGCTTGGACAAGCTTGACCTCTCCACATTCAGTCAGCTGAGTGGAAGTTGTCCTTGGCAATGGGGCCCCACTGTCAGTTTTCAGAGAGAGAGAGACCTGTCTTTGCATCATTCTGGGTTGTATAGGGATCTCCAGAGGACCTCCTGGGCCAACAACTCAGCCAAATGTAGCCCAGTCTCACTGCTGGAAGCCTTACCTGGCAACAAAAAGTGGCCAGTTCAGATTTTTTATCCTCCATTACTAGGAGTCCTCACTAGGGTCACCCTCATAGATTCCAGGGTTTTCCCACTGCACTAGGTTTCTATCCCATTCCCCACACACTCCCTAATTCCATCTGTCTCTCCCCCGAACTCTCCCTCCACCCCATCCCCACCTGATCCATCTTGCTCCCTACCCACTTCCATTCTACTTGCAGAATCTAGTCTATTTCCGCTTTCCAGGGAGGTCCATTGAAAGCATATTTTTAAAATCCATACTCTGCCAGGCAGTGGTGGCACATGCCTTTAATCCCAACACTCAGGAGGCAGAGAATACAGTCAAAGCTGTTAGACAGTGAAACACTGTCTTGTAAAACTGAACTAAACTAAACAAATCCATACCCCTCTCGTCTCTGTTGCTAGTTCCAGGGATCAACTACTAAATACAGTCCTAGTACTCAGATCCATATCTCTGTGTTGTTTGGGGAAAACCCAAATGCTAGAGAGATGATATAAGAAGGGTTAATAAAGGAAAACAAAAGGACTTGAAAACTGATTATCCAGTTTGGTATTCAAGGCTTAGCATTACAATGCTGCAATAGTTAACCTTGTATTTTACCTCTTTCAACTTGGCAGGCACCCTTTGGAGCTTAAATAAGCTTGGTGGCCAGACTGCCTTAGAGTCCATTCTGTGGGGGAAGAAAATGTTCCCCTGAGCAGTCAGAAGAGCTTCCCAACATCTCTGATTAAATATGTAAAATGAAATAGCTATCTATTGGTTTCTTCCCCTAACTCCCCAAGAAACCTAATAAAACAATTCTACTCTAACAAAGCTAGAGTTCAGTAATTAAGAAGTGGCAAGATAACAAGACACTATTACTACTCAGTTTCATCTTTAGAAATATCTATGGCACACTTGTGAAATACATGGTATTCATTACTGCTTGACCTGTTGACACAGGAAGCAATCTAAATGTCACTTTATGACTGGTATAAAGTACTATCTGCCAATGCAGAATCTTCTGAAGCAGTGGGGAAGAGTAAGTCATTCATCAGTAGATGTAGAATGTTGGTATGTGTTTTTAAAGGGGTATATTTTCCACTACTTTTTATTCTTTTTATCCCCTTCAGTATTAAGGATTGAAGCCAGGGCTTCCTGCAGGCTAGGCAAAGACTTTACCTCGAAGCCACATCCTCACCCAGTTTTACATTTTTAATTGGCTGCATATGTGCTTTTCTGTATCACATGTTTTATTCCAGCTATAGGTCACTCCAGCAGCTCAACACTCCTGATTCCAATACAGTAGTTGCCTAATTGCATAACAATTACATTGAGAGTGGGCATAGGGATGTAGTAAGAAACTGTTGCCATGCTGTCTTAGTCACTGCTTTATGGAGATGAACAGACACCATGACCAATGCAACTCTTAAAAAGGAAAGCATTTAATTGGGGGCTTGCTTAGTTTCAGAGACTTAGTTCATTATTATGGCAGGGAGCATGGTGGCTTGTAGGCTGGCAAGATTCTAGAGAAGTAGTTGAGAGCTTTATATCCTGATCCTCAGGCAGCAGGCAGAGAGAGGGGAGAGAGAGAGACGGAGGAGGAAGAAGAGCGAGGGTCTATTGTAGGCCTTTTGAATAGGAAAGCCCACTTAGTACTTACTTACTGAACTGATCCTTTTGCTCCTACTTCCCCAGTGCTGAGGTTAGAGGCATATGCTGCTGTTCCTGGTAAGCATGTGGTAGGCTGAGAACCCAGGGCACGTTTCTTCTCAATGAGGAAGTGGTAATGAAGTAATTGTTCTAATTCAGCCTCAAGCAAGTATCAAAAATAATGTTCATGATTTAATGGTAAACATTGGAAGCAATCACTTTTGTGTAAAGGCTAAAACCAATATTCCCATAAACAATAGTTTTGTAATTGGCATGCAGCCCATTGCCTTTAATTGCAACTACATGCTACTGAGTGTGTGAAAGAATGTAATGTAGTTGAGCAGATGACGATGACCTTGAACTCCAAGTCCTCTGGAAGAGTAGGAAGTACTCTCAACTGCTGAGCCATCTCTAACCCTTGACTTTAAAACTGGGGTCACAGGCATGTGCCATCAGTCCTAGCTGTTTTTTGTTTTCCACTTTAAAAAACTGTTTTGTTTTTTGTTTTTGTGCTGGGCAGTGGTGGCACACACCTTTAATCCCAGCACTTGGGAGGCAGAAGCAGCCTGTGAGTTCAAGGCCAGCCTGGTCTACAAAGCTATAGAGAAACCCTGTCTTGAAACACCTCCCTCCCAAATGTGTGTACATATATGATGTGTGTGTATGTTCATATGTGTGAGTATGGGTGTGTGAGTGTTACATTGTGCATGTGGAGGTCAGAGGACAGCCTTCAGTGTCAGTCCTCATCTTCTACCTTCTTTGAGACAGGGCCTCTTATTCATAGCCATGAACACCAGGCTAGCTCACCCACAATCTTCAGGGATTCTCCTATCTCTGCCTCTCATACTGCTGTAGGAGTGCCACTCTACTGTGCTCAGTTTAGGTGGATTTTGGTGACTCAAACTCAGGTTTTTATACTTGTGTGGCATGCTCTTTATCCACAGTGAACCAGCTACCCTCCCCAACACATCCCACGACCACAACCATTTTTTTTTTTTTTTTAAGACAGGGTATCACTATATAGTTCTAGCTGGTCTGTTACTTAATATATAGACCAGACAGTTTCCAAATTAGAGAGCTCTGTTTCTTGAGTGTTGTTATTAAATGTTTGAAGTACCACACATGGCTAGACTTTTTTTTTTCTATTTTTTGAGACTAGGGTCTCCCTCTTGGGTTTTCTGTGTAACCGTACCTATCCCAGATCTCACTCTGTAGAGCAAGGGTGGCCTCAAACCCAGGAGAACAAGTTTTACTCTGTTACCCAGGATAGTTGTAAACTCTCAACCTTCCTGCCTTCACTTGCCAAGTGGCTGAGTTGGGATTACAAGCCTGGGTGATTTAACATCTTCATTTCCTAATGGGAGAGATTACACGTGTGTGATCTCATGGGGCCCCATATTTTTAAGTTCATATTAAGTTGTGGAACTTCCCAGAGGTTTTATGATTACGTTTGGCAGACTGTATGAATGTCTACATAGATTGTGTGTGTGTACATATTTGTATGTTGTGGTGCGTGTTTAGATGTCTGAAGTTGACCTGGTGTGTCTTCCCCCCATTACTGTCCACCATCCATACTGAGGCTTTGTTACTGCTGGGACCACATGTGGGGTGCCAACACCCACGAAGCTTTTAGGTGTATTCTGGGGATCTAGCCTTTTGTCCTCAGGCATGCACAGCAAGTACTTTCCCCACTGAACCGTCTCCTCAGCCCATGCATAGAACTCTTTAACTGCAAAAGACAGAAATGTAGAACAACACAAGGATTTTATTCTTTATTTCAGGTTTCCAGGGTAATGCAATGCCTTCAGGTTTCCAGGGTAATGTAATGCCACAGATAGCTGGGTCATTTAACTGGACTGAAAAACAAAAAACAAAGCAAAACAAACAAACAAACAAAAAACCTAATTCCTGTGAAAACCGATTAGGAAATATAAGACCTCCGCAAAATTTTCAGACCACCCAGACCAGTTCTCCATAGCCAATATCTGCAGGTGGTATTTCAGAGAGCCGTAGGATCTCAGCTCCTTCATAATGGCTAAGTTGTTACAGGTCATGGCGGAGAGGGTATAGCATATCCAAAACTGAACGAGGCGATGGCTGTTGACTTCACTTTTGATGGTGGAACGGAAGGGAGTCTCAAAGAAGGTAATGAAAATAGGAATGAACTGCAGCTGTCTGGCTCTCTTCTGGCTGGCAGGGTTTAAGTAGCACCAGCATGCCACACCCTGGAGCATCAGGATCTTTGTCTTTGGTGACATCACCTTTTCACTCTGCAGCAAGGCGGCGACATCTTTCATGTACTCGCTGGCGAACTGTGCAGCACTCAGGCCTCCTGTAAGACAAGCATTTCCGCTTCCAGGAGTATGTAGAGATAGCTGGTAAGATCTCAGAGGCCCCTGTGCATTATTCTTTGTGTGTGCCGGGGGTTGGGAGGGGGGATGTATATGTGTATGTATGGGCATGTGTGAGGAGGTTGGGAAACAGTCTCAGCTCGTGGGTGTTGGCACCCCACATGTGGTCCCAGCAGTAACAACAGACATCATCCACGTTTGAATTATTATTATTTTGGTTTTCTGAGACAGGGTTTCTCTGTGTAGCTTTGGCTGTCCTAGAACTCACTTTGTAGACCAGGCTGGCCTCCAGCTCAAGAGATTTTCCTGTCGTCGGTCCGAGCTACCATGCTGGGGTATATACTTTTAAGATTTTTGTGACCAGGTCTCTCTGGCCTAGAAATCTACATACAGACTAGCCTGACTGACTGGCTAACCCATCCATCCACACCTCTCCAGTTCGAAGGCTACATCAAACTTTTTATGTGGGTGCTAGGGCTCAAACTCATATCCTCATGTTTGCAAAGCAAGCCTTTCGCTAAGTGAGCTATCTGCTCCGCTTCTGTTTCCTCTGCCATTTTGTTTGTTTTGTTTCTAGGGGTCAGATACAGGGCCTCACTATACCCCCAGACCCAGGTTCATATTCTGGCAATTGTCAGTAATGTTTGAAATGTACTAACTTTTCCTTTTCTGTGTAACCATGGAAACGGAAAATGTGGTGAAGAAGCACGTAAGAAGCATGGGAAGGTCACTGCCTGCTGAGGCTCCTCCCTTGGTTCAGTTATGTGGACTGAGGCATGAATGTATCCAAGTGGTAGGATCTGGATATGTTTGCTTAGAGAAGGTCAGTCTTTGTACTGGAGGAAAGTCTGTGGATCTGAGATCGATGGTCAGAGCCCAAAGGAAATGCAAAGGCTGAGCCAGGGAAGCCCTCAGCTGCCTCGTGGTAGAAAAGTGTCTGAGAGACATTAATTGCTGAGTTGTTCTTGTTTATTTCTTACTCCCAACTCATTCCCAGACCCAAGGCCGATGCTGCTGTATAAGATTTTTCTTCCTTAGTTATCAACCCAGCCTAGTCCTAGATTGTTTTGTTTTCTTCTCCTTTCTCTCGGAGACAAGGTTTCTCTGTGTAGCCCTGGCCTTCCTGGAACTTACTCTGTAGAATAGGCTGGATTTAAACTCAGATCCTCTGCCTCTGTCTCCTGAGTGCTGGGATTAAAGCATGTGTTACCATGTCTGGCTTTGTGATAAAGTTTGATGAAGAATATAAGTACCAAACATTTTATTTTTATAGTTTATAAAATGTGTTACACACAGCCAAGTGTAGTGTATGCATCTGTAACCACACAGCCAATTACACATCTGTAATCCCAGTTTGGAGGCAGAAACAGGGAAGTCTGTGCAGGTCTGAGGATAGCCTGATCTACACAGTGATTCCAAGCCTGCCAAGGCTACAAAATCAGACCCTGTCTCAAACTCCTTCCTCAAACAAGAAAAGACATTATTAAAGAAATGTCTTTGAAAAAAATAGTAAAAACTTTTACTCCCAAAATACTTATGAAGAACTGGGCGTGGTGGCACTTACCTTTAATCTCAGCACTCAGGAGGTAGAAGCAGATGGATCTCTATGAGTTCAAGGCCAAACTGGCCTACATTCAAGTTCTAAGACAGCCAGAGCTACGTAACAGAGAAAGCCTGTCTCAAAAACCAGAACAAAACAAGCAAACAAACAAAAACAGTTACTACGAAAGCTAATAAGTATATCACTGAAAGGCAAGATCACACTGCCTAATGACTACCAAGTCCAACCCATTCAGTGTAAGGTCATCCTGGACTACATGAGAACCCTTCCTCAAAACAAAAAGTTTCTGGCTAAAAGGTCTGAGTGCTTTAGTTTTATTTAAGTGGGAAAGTAAATTCCTTAGGTGTAATTTGAGGGATTAAATCTTCAAAGAATGATATCCATGAGGGGAAATGTAGGAGTTCTTATCCATATCCATTAAATGGTCAAAACTAGAGAGTCAGGAACCTCAGATAGACCTCCAGCACTATGGAGGAATTGTTTGTGCTGTGAATCACCTGAGGCAGGCTCAGCTCCCTAGATGTTCACTTTCTGGAGGAAGAGCCAACTAACCAATTATAAGAGGACCAGAATGCTTTAGTTTGGTGTTAGTCTTAGCTATACAGGTGGGAAGCAAGGGAAAGAGCTCCCATGTGGCTTCCACTAAAGCTTTAACATCAAATGGAATTCTCTCAGCACTGTAGGTCCAGGGTAACATAAGTTAGAGAAACCCATGAACAGAGCTCCAGTGGCTAGACTCTCCACCAAAGTACTCTTTATCCCATGCCCTTTTAGTAAGTACCTTGTTGGAATCTGAGATTGAACTTGAAAGATCTTGGGTTGATATTGAAAACAGAATCTAAGCCTGGTTTACAGAGAGCATTTCCGGACAGCCAGGGCATCACCATCACCACCACCACCACCACACCACCATCATCATAGTCCCTTCTAAACTGCAGTGTTATAACAAGCAGAAGATTATGAAGCAGCCACGTTAGCACAGAGGTGAAACAGTACCTGTGAAGGCCAGTAGTCCAATTTTCTGGGCAGCCTGAGCTCTTTTTTCAAGGGATAGACGTGTATTCTTTAGCGTGTAGCCAAGTTCTATAATTTTTTCTCTGTGAAAAATGCAGTCAGCTGTGGAGACTGTCTGCTCTTCCTCCTGGGTCCTAAAATATGTCTTAATAGTATTCCATAGCAGTCTGAGGTACTTCAACAGCTGCTCGAAGCTCTGACGGGCCTTTTTGCTTATCAGCCTGCTAAGAGAGTGGATTCTCAACTTCCTGATGAAGGCCATTGGTGCTCATGTACACAGGCGGGGCTGGAGTAGATAGCAGCTCAGGAACGCACTGCCTGGCAACAAGGCAACAAGGTAGGACGGAATGTAGGGTACTGTCCCGCAACACCGTAGAACCCGAACATAGGAACCAGAAACAATAAACGCGAGGTTCCTGGGGCTGGCATTCAAGGACTTTTAGGACTAGAACAAAAAAAGCAAACTGTGCTTCTCTGGAGGCACATACACTCAAGCTGTTTCCCGAACACATAGCTCTCTCCTGCCTTTGCTCCTTGTCCTGTGCTGGGCTTACTGGACTTTCTCCTTGGACTGCCACCCTCGCTTCTAAGTGGCTTCTGGAACTTGCATTGACTATTCTGAAGGCTGTGGTGCTTGTTTTTCTTTACACATAGATTTAGCCTGTTTTAATGACAAAGATGAAGCAAATGTCACCCACATCACATCTACTCATCTGTGTGTGCCCATTTTTCTCTTCTCTTGTGCCTGTGGGTGTCTGTGAGTACTAACTTCTTCCAATCCTCTAAAAGATACTGCTCTTCCCGTGTTTTAGGATATTTTCCTTGGCAACTGGATCTCAGTATATAAGCACTTGGGCTTCATTAACAAACAAAACAAAACAAAAAACTCTCTGCTAAATGTGGTAGCTTTTATCATCGGAACATTTAGGAAACTGAGGCAGGAGGCTTGAGAAATTGAAGCTAACCTGGGCTATATAACAAGACCATAACCAAAACAGGGCTATATAGGTGGTTCAGAGGTTAAGACCACTGGTCCTGAATTCAATTTCCAGCAACCACATGGCTCGAAACCATCTATAATGAGATCTGGTGTCCTAGTCTAGTGTGCATGCAAACATTTAGGTAGAACACTGTGTACATACTAAGTAATTTTTTGTTTGTTTCTTTTGTTTTTTGAGACAGGGCTTCTCTGTAGATCAGGCTATCCTCGAACTTACAGAGATCTGCTTGCCTCTGTCTCCCAAGTGCTGGGATTAAAGGCATGTACCACCAAGCCCAGCAAATAAAATCTTTTAAAAAAAGTTTAAAGACAAAACAAGTCTTGATTATATCTACTCCTCCATCTTTCCTTTGTATAGACCAGCTAAGTCAATATCTTGTCTTTAAATGACTTCTATATCCTAAACTTGCTCAATTTTATGTGTTTGGGTTGTTTTCAGACAGCTTATTGCTATTTTGCTTAGAATCACCTTAACCCCTGAGCTCAACTGCACAAGCCTCCTACAAGTGTACACCACTGCATCAGGATCACACAAGGACACACTCCTTCACCCCTAGTCAACACCCACACGCACGTGTGTGCATACCCCCCCACACACATATGTTTTGAGACAAGGTCTCATATAGCTCAGTCTGTCTCATTCACTGGCTTTGCAGTATATATTTCAAACTCTTAGTTTTCTTTTACTTGTATGTACAACTGTGGGTGGGGGTTATGTGCATGTGTGTACAGGTGTCTACAGAGAATCCCAGAGGTACTAGGTCAGAGGATGATGTTTCAATTCAGTCAATCCCCATCTATTTTTTTTTTTTAAAGATAGATTTCTAGCTGGGTACTGGTGGCACACACCTTTAATTCCAGCACTTGGGAGGCAGAGGCAGGCAGATCTCTGTGAGTTCCAGGACAGGCTCCATCGCAACACAGAGAAACCCTGTCTTGACCCCCCCAAAAGGTAACTTCTTTTGTTTTATGTGTGTAACTGTTTTGCCAGAATGTATGTTTATACACCATGTGTATGGCCAGCACCCTGGGAAGTCAGAAGAGGGTATTGGATTCCCTGGAGTTATGGATGATTGTGAACTGCCATGTGGGTTCTATGAATTAAATCCAGGTCCTCTGAAAGAACAATGCACACTCTTAACCACTGGGCCCTCTCTCCTAAAGATTGTTTTTTGTTTATTTGTTTAACACTCTGCAGGCACACACAGGCACATGCACATAAACTCTACCCCCATACCCATATTCGTACACATATCTTTGAAGTATATATTGCAAAAAGTGACTTTGAGGCAGACTGAGCTATATGAAACTTTGTCTCAAAAACAAAAACAAAACAAATCAACGAAATCATAAAATCAAACAAAGCAAAACAACCCCAAACCCAATATATACATCCATTGATGGGAGTGGGGGTGGTGGTGGGTGACAGGGGTATGTCCTAGTGTAATTAATCCTGATGTAGTGTGTGTAGTTCTGTGTGTGTGTGTGTGTGTCCACATGTGAGTATAAGTGCTTTTGAAAGCTAGAAGAGGACACTGGATTCTCCTGGACCAAGAATTTACAAGTGTTTGGGTGCTGGGAGCTGAACTGGGGTCCTCTTAAAGGCACTATGTTCTCTAAACTACTGAGCCATCTCTCCAGCTCAGCCCTTGAGACGTTGATTTTACTGTCTCAGTCCACCAAGTACTGTGATTATGCTCTGATGCTCAACTCTCTCTCTCTCTCTCTCTCTCTCTCTCTCTCTCTCTCTCTGTGTGTGTGTGTGTGTGTGTGTATGGTTTGTTTTATTGAGACAGTCTCATTCTGTAGCCTTGGATGGCCTGGAACTTGTTATGAAGACTAGGCAGGCCTTGAACACATAGAGATCCATTTATCCAATTGCCTAAGTCTCCTGTAATTTTACATTTTTAATAGGACTTCTTACTTGAATTCCAGACTTATATTAGATCACCATCTTGATCTTTGGATATAAACTTTATTGCATCTAAAATAGTTCCTGTGTTTCCTTCTTCTTGCTGTAGGGTTTTCTGTCGATATTCTATATTTTCAGTTTATTGTTCAGTCTAAAATATTTGCACTCATCCTTAGCCTGTTTCTCATTCCATTTCCAACCTCCTAACCAATTCATTCTCTTGGTTTTATTTTCAAAACATATCCCAAACATTAGAAAATGTTCCTGACTGTGTACTTCAGTTATATGAACTTGTAAAGGGATAAGGATATAAAGAGTATAGAAAATTCAAAACACCAAACAAGGTACTTTTTTCAAAGCCTTATATTTCTTGCCTCTGGAATATTTATTTAAAAAACAGAAAACATTTATTTTATGTGTAAGCGTGCTTTGCTTGCATGTCTGTGCATCACGTGTGTACCTGGTACCCAAAAGGCCAGAAGAGGGCATTAGTCGCTTGCAAGCTGCCATGTGCGAACTGGGAATTAAACCCAGGTCCTTTGGAAGAGTAGCGGGGCTCTTAACCACTGAGCCATCTCTTCAGCCCCCTGGAGTATTCTTTCCAGAGAAAATCTATATGATTTCTCTGTTCAGTTTTCAACCACACGTTTTATAGGCATTTCTTGACCTTTAAACTTGTGACTTTTGAGCTTGCCTCTCCTTACCCTACCTTTTCCCTGCTTTGGAATTCAAGCTCAGAGCCTCAAGCTTGCTAGACATTTGCTCTAATACTGGGGCATATCCCTGTGGTGGTTTGAAAGAAAATGGCCCCCACATGGAGTGGCACTATTAGGAGGTGTGCCTTGGTGGAAGTGGGGGTGGGCTTTGGAAGTCTCTTTTGTTCAAGCTTCCCTCTAAGCAGCTTGCAGTCAACTTCCTGTTGATTGCAAGATGTAGCACTTTCAGCTCCAGCACCACATCTGCCTACGTACTTGCTACATGCTTTCTGTCATGTTAATAATGCACAGAACCTCTGAAACTAAGCCACTACCTCAATTAAATGTTTCTTTATAAGTGTCACCATGGTCATGGTGTCTTTTCACAGCAATAGAAAACCCTGAGTCCCCATCTCAAACCCAATCTTTTACAATAATTTTTTTTCCTTCTTGGCCTTATTATCTTTTTTTTTTTTTTCCAGACAATGAATCTTACAAGGGCAGACATTGTTATGTCTTTTGTCCTTACTATTGAACACCTACTGCCCAGTTCCTGGCTTACATACCAGTCATGGCAACTAAGCAGCAAATGCTGTTGAGTATGTGAGAAGTTAGAGAACCTGTTTTTTAGGCTCCGTGTAAGTATTCCTCCATTGCTGTGACAACATATCTGTAAGGTGTATGGCTTTTCCTCCCGCCGCCTAGTCTTGTCCCGCCGCCGCGCCAGCCCCAAATAACACACAGAGACTCTGTATTTGATATAATTCTGTTGGTCTGTTTCTTGTTTCTTATCGGTTAGCTCTGTCTTAATTATTAACCCATTTCTATATATTTCCACGTGGTCTTACCAGCGAGAGGCGGCTGGCGATTCTGTTCTCTTCCATCTCTCCATCCTCACTCCTCCTTACTACTTCCTCTTTCCTCCTTGTCTCCTAGTCCCTCCTATCTTCCTTTCCTATTGGCCAACAGTGCTTTATTCATTAACCAGTATGAGAAACATATATACATAATGGCATCTCCCATCATCTCCTCTTTTCTGTCTAAATAAAAAAGAAGGGTTTTAACCTTAACATAGCAAAATATATCACACAACAGTTATCAAATAAGAATAACAGTTAACAATATTTAGTCTATTAACATTTAGCAAGACTAAAAGAAACTATTCTATCATCTATCTTATATTTGTGAATCTAAAGTCCTATATGTAACTTATCTTTAATCATAACTAAGGAAAACTATAACCATAACTATCTGTCTTCAACTCCTTCAAAGACCACAGAAGGAAAATATATAAACTTTAGAAATGACAGAGACAACTCACTGCCTAGTCACCCGAAGTTCTTTTGTAATCTTCCATCTTCAGCCCATAGGCCATAGTGTGTCTGGCAGACTCTTCAGCAAAGCAGGAAACTTAAAACTGTCTTCTTGTATTGCCAGTTTGTCAATCATTTTCCTCTGTGTCCTGCAGACTGTCTGACAGACTCTTCCATGAAGCAGGAATTCTATAGCAATGTCCATCTTGAATAAGCAGTCGCTTTTCTGTGGGTCCTGCATGTCCAGTTTATACAGCATAAAGTCAAACAGTCCAGACAAGAGCAGTATCTTGTCCAAATGGCTAGTATTGCCATACTAGAAGTAAACTCCATAACAAGTTT